TTCCTTCTTTTACAACTGAATACTAAAGGCTGAGTAAATTATAAACACCACAAGTATACTTGACTAGAGGCTAGAAAGTGGGTTCCTAGTGAAAGCCTTCCTGATGCATCATAATCTGGTGAAAGATAGACAAGCACTCTCAAGTCAGAGAACTCACTGAACTCTCTCATTCATCAGGAACCCAGCCACAAGATAGCTGCCTCATCCCCACAGTAATGGCTATCATCCACTTGTGAGAGCAGGCCTTACCTGCTTCTCATGGACCCCGCCATCTTGTGCAATAGAACACCAATTAAATGCCAACCTGGGTTTTGGAGTAGACCTTCAGGACTCAGTTGTAGCACAGCCCTCAGTTATTCCAAAACTCATCAAATTTGGTATTGAGTGCATTTTGATTTGAAATTTGACCTAGTAGCTGTTGTTAATTTGGTCCTCAACATGGAAGCGAACACTTGTCAGCATTGATTTATTTGACTTGCTACCTTTTCCAACCAAGAACTATTTGTTTTATACTCTTCATTTTTGGTACTTGGTGTGCTCCCTGGAAACGGTGACTGATGCGTACCAAGGTACCACTGCATTTGGCTTTTGGTCTTCCCGTCTACAAGTCAGTACCTCATTGAGGGCAGTGGGAGTGTGCGTTTCTTCACTTGGTCCTCAGAACCCCGAGTTCTGCCTAGCCATGGTAGATGAATGGTAGATTATGATGAAGAAAGTTGTGCATTTATTTCAAAATTCCCTGGCTTATCTGTTAATCGATGAATGATCAGTATATTTCTAAACTCTGGACAATGAATGTACTCACTACTAGAGTTACTATTAAAAATAATCTTTTAAGCAGCTTTTTGTCTTTTCACAAGAATTAAATGACTTATTTCATATTTCAAATAACTGAATAGTTGATTAAAATAAAGAAAAGAAAAGTTCTGTGAGGGTTGAGTTGTTGTCTTCCTCATTTACTTCTAAGTCTCTTCCAGCTGGAATAGTGCCTGGTGTATAACAGTCTTTTTTTTTAATTTTGAAAAAAATGTGCACATGAACCACAATATCTCCTTAAATTAGATGCATGTATGTCTCTTGACTCACCTGGCATTGGCTCAGTGAGAAATAATTCAAAGTGCATAGGGGAAGTCAGTTTCTGCCTCAAAGGGGTGTTCAACACAGGCATGGCACTGATTTTCTGGGTAGAAATAGGGCAGCCAGTGTGTCCTAGTGTTATGAGAGCATTTATGCTTGAGTGAAATGCCTTCTGCAGTGTGGTATGGAGCGGCTTGAAAGCCCAAGGCCACCTTTGCAGTCCTTCATCCTAAGGTGAAACCTGCCAGCTAAGAAGCACTGTCTACGCAGAGTTCCATCTGTCTCTTTATTAAAGTGAGGCAATGGGCAGTAACAGGTCACCAGATGTTGAGAAAATCTCTGTGATGAAATGTGAGAGATAAAAAGCCAAAATATGTGAAATAATATGACCTGAGAAAAATTTAAAAATAGAATAAAAATTATCAGCAGCAGTTGTAGAACTCAAACATCAATATGGTGATTTGGGACACAGTGGCACCCATCAAACCCAAACAAGATGCTCCGGAAAGAGCACAAACAGGAAAACAAGACCCAGAAGAGCTCCTGGAAATAATTTTCGTAAAAGGTGATGAAATAATGCATTCAATAGAAGAGTTGGAAGATGAAGTCAAAAGACTGCCAAAAGTAGAATAAGGGGAAAGCATCAGAATGCGGATGAGAAAACAGGCAGCCAGCTGGCAGATCCAACACTTAGATAAGATGATCCCCAAGAAGGAGCAGAAAAAGAAAGAAAGAAGGAAAAAAAAAGAAGAGAAAATTACAAAAGAAACATCAGAAGAGAATTTTCCTGAGTCTTCTGGCTGAAAGAGCTGCGTGGTACTTGCAAAGGATGAATGAAGTAAGACCAGGGTCTGTGGAGGTCAGGACGCTATGGTGAGGAGGGGATTTATAGCCTTCACTGGAGGGAAGTGAGCCGTCCACCAATGACCTATCGCAGACACCAGATTTGTCCTTAAGGGTAGAGCAAGCACAATGCAGGAAGCTCTTCAAGTGGTTTTCACCATGAAATTCTGGATTAGACTGAACTGAGGGCAGACCCAGACATCACCAGGCAGGAAGACTTAGGGCAATGTGTGTCTCCTGACCTTTTCCTTACACTTCCTTCAATATGGCTCAATGGAACAAGGGAATCAGCTAAGAAACAACAAGGCACCAGCTGGGGAGACAATGACCCCCACCCAGGGAGGGTCTGGGGACATCCATGGTGCAGCTGGAGTAGCAGATGGGGTAGCCAGTCAGCCTTGAGGTGACTGACCAGGAGCACCTGTGCGGACAAAGTACTGTGAACCACATCTCAAACCCAGACTTAGGTACACACCCTTTATCCATTTCCAGCCTTTGTAGTCAATCTTTAGAACAGTGAAAAACTATTAATCTTGGTTACTAAATTGAATGCAAATACTTAAAACCTCTATAGTGAAACAAAACAAAACAAAGGAGAGGTTGGAGGGTGTAAGGGTGAGAAACACTTTATCTTACCAAAAGGAGAGTATAATTAATGGACTGAAGTAAGACCAAAAATTCTTCCATATGTTACAGAAAGTTATAGAAGCAACCAGGAGGGAAATTAAAATATGCTTATCTATGTCAGAGAAAAGTTGAATAATGAATATGGGAAGTTGAATAAATGAACTAAATCAACATTTAATTGTGGGAGGAAATTTTTTTAGGTAAGGTCAAACATTTCTAAATTTAGAAATGATTGTATAAGTGCATAGTATAGAGTTCTAGCAGAACCAATATATCTCTTATATTTGAGAGTAATTTATTTGGGGACTGATAAAGACCTCTTTCTTTCTTTCTTTTTTTTTTTTTTGTGGTTCTGGGGATTGAACTCAAAGCCTATTTCTTTACTTGATAAAACTTCATGCCATAGTTAATTTTATAGGTATCTGCATGTATAGCTTTGCTTGAATAGATTAAAAGTAGCACTTTGGTTAGCTTTGCAACAAAGTGCCTGGGGTAGCTTATTTACAGGAGGAAATGGCTCATTTGGCTCACAGATTTGGAGACTCAAAGCCCAAGCTGGTGTGGCACTGTTTGTCTGGTGGCCGGTGAGGGTGGAGAAGCATGGTGCATCACTGCAGGGACTCACGGGGAGAGCAGGTGTCAGCGTGGACAGAAAGGCAGAGAGCCCCTGGCTCTGCGGTCTGGGCTGAGGGCACAGTCCCAGTGACCTAGGGCGTACCTCTTGCAGGTCCGCAGCACCTGGCGATGTGGCCCCTCTGGAGCAGGAGCCTTTTATGTGTACCTGGGGGACACTGAGCATCTAAAACAGAGCAAGTATTTAAACAAAAAGACGTGACTAACTGTGAGCACTTGGCAGATGGCACGCGGGACCCTGCGCTGGCCAGGCAGGTGCTTCCGCTGCTGAGCTATCTCCTGGGCTCGATCAAGGAATTGTTCCAGGGAAGTATTTATTCATTTATTTATTTATTGTGGAACCAGGGATTGAACTCAGGCTCTTGTGCTTGCCAGGGAAGTGCTTATTCCACTGAGCCATCTCCCCGCACTCCAGGGAAGTATTTAAAGCTGGAAATTTGGGCTTTGTCTTGTTCTGACTGCCCCTTCCTGTATAGATGACTGTGGCCATTCCAATTTTCACCTATACAAGGAGGTACTAGTATCAACTACGCATGCTTATTAGGAGGATTGTATGTAATAATTTGCTATTCAGATAGTGTCTGGCCCACTTTGGAGATGATAGTAAATATTTTATTTAGTATTATTAATTTTAGAACAAATCTTGTATTAAAAAACAAAGGACCCATAATTGGCTTCATTTTTTTTTCTTCTTTTCTTTTCCTCCGTACTTAGGACAGGATCTACAGCATCTACAGGGTGTACATGGTGTACAGGGTCTCACTACATAAACCGGACTTGCAGCGATGCTCTTGTTCTCAGCCTCCCAAGTGCTGGGATTACAGGCATGCACCACCATGCCCAATCTCAGTCGCTGTCTCAGGGTGCCCCATGGAGCGGGGTGGGCCAGCACGGCACACCAGGGATTGAACCCCCAGCCACTGTGCTCTGCTTAAGCAGACACTTCAGTCTGCTGAGCTATCAGGCCGGCCCTTACTTGGCTCCAGTCCTACTGCCCGTGTTACAAGTTCTGAAACTTGAAATGAGTGATTTAAATTGCACATAGCATTGCTTCACTTTGACAAGGTAGTGAAAGGAGTTACATTGTAAAAATTAATGAAAACTTTAAGAATAAAACATTAATGATGATCCTGGATAAACTGTGTGATCTCGGTACTGGTAAGACCTTGTGAGTGTTCAGGGGAGAACTACATGGTGATTCACTCCTAAAATGGACAGGATATGATTTGTCATTACCAAGGACAGAGGGAGGGACTGGATGTGTTTAGAATTTCAGGATTCTCTAGTTGTGGAAAGAAAACAGGGTGTGTCTGCCTTTGTATTATGCCACGTCTTCAGGGAAACCTGTGCCCAGTAATCAATCAATATTCCAATATTGATCAATATTGTTGCACTGGATATATTAACTCACAAATAGTAAATGGACTAAAAAAGCATGCATTCCATGCCAGAGGTTGCTCTTAAATTAAGTCAGGTCAGGTTTTCCACCAAGTAAGTTTTTCAGAAAAGTTTCTGTTTTCTGGATTTTTAAATTTTTCATTATTTGAGCATTGCAGATTTTTTCCTCTGAATATTTCTGGTTGATTCCCTGCACTGGTGTGTGGCTCTGAAATATTTATTATCACCTTCAAAGTGGGCCAGAGACGACATGAATAGCAAATTGCTACATACAGTTGTCCTAATTCGCACGCATAGTAGATCCGTACGTCACGTAAGGATGCAATATCATAGGAGAGCTGAAAACATTTGAAGGCAGCAACTGTGAATTTTAAAAGATTACTGTTGAATGAGCGGTTGTTTTTGCTCGTGTTCTCCTACAGAAAAAAGAGCCCATGGATTTCTCCGAGAACTCTCAAGCAGACAGGTCATCTCAGTTCTTGGACCCCAGCCTGAAGGAAGCCATCAGATCCGGAGACCCCAAAGTGCACGAATTCTTCCGGTTGCTTGCTCTCTGCCACACTGTAATGTCGGAGGAGGACAGCTCAGGTAAGTGGGGAGCCTCGCTGTCAAAATAAAGCTGATAGGAAATTTGAAAGATTTAGAATTAAAGGCAGAACAGCGCATAAGGGGTTGACTTGTCGCTAGCTTCTCTTTTTATTTGATTGTACCCTGAATGCTTCTCAAAAACATGGAGAGTGTTTAAAGAAAGACAAACAGTGTCCAGGGGAGAGCGAAGACCCAAGAGCGCTAGACAGGGGAAGAGGCCCTCACACAGGCCGTATGGGCGACAGAGCTGAGGCCTTGTGATGGAGCAGAACGACGCCTCCCGAGCCTGGGAAGCTGCTGCCGCGGGAGAAGCCCAAGGCTGGGTCAGCGCCTTCCCCTCCCATCGTGCTCGTCCGCTCTGTTTCATACACTCTCCTGCATTCTGACATCAAGTTAAAGTTACTATCCCAGTGATTTCAAGTCAAAAGTAAACTATATAGAGACGTTTATACTTGTGTGTGCGTGTATACACAAATGCGCATAGACACCTTTCTGGTGTGTACACTTGGTGTTGTCCGGAATTTTTTCCCCACTTGGGACTCTAATTAAGCCACCATGTTTTTCTTTGATGCTGCTGAACGAACCCATTCCTCAGATTTTAAGCACTTTGGCCATTCATATAATTAACTTATGATTTTAACTAGTCTTTACCATATTAACACGAGTGAGGAATTATTATATTTCCACTTGGGAGTATGCCTTTAAATAAGTTTCTTTTATCTCTGCCTTTGAGTTTATTTCATTTCAAAAAGCCCATTTTGTTTTAATAGCAGTCTGTTTTCCATTTAACGTTATGATATTCTCTAGACCCCTTTGAGGGTATTAATTATGCTTAGCTTGATGGCGCTTTTGTTTCTCCTATTATGCTTCAAGTGTCCGTGCCTGACTTTCATGTTGCTCTCAAATGTCGCATGATTTGTGGTTGCCCGGTCCTCTTCGCGTGTGAGAACCTTTTTCGGAGAACACAGGTTCCTGTTGCAGCAGTCAGTTTCCCGAGGTTGTGCGGGAGGCGCAGGGCCTGTGCGGGGCCTGTCCTGCCTGCAGGGGCCTTCCCCACAGTTCAGGGGGCACAGCATGCTTGTCGAGCCTCCCCTGGGCGACAGCGCTGCACACAAGGCTCCAGCCAGGCAGAAGGCACCAGCTGATGAGTTCTTCTTCCTCCCTTTTCTTTCTCTGTCCTGATGGAAGTCTGCAGCAATGAGTTGTGATTGAAAAATAGGGCATATATTTAACCTAAAGATATTACTGTGGCAAAGGACATGCTGCCCCAAATCCCAACCCTCACCTTGAACACGCGTACCCCACTGGTGTTGCCAGTCTCTGAAGCAGCTCAGAAGCCGTCTTTCCTGTCTTAGCTGTGCTGTCGTGCTACCTTGATGTCCTGGACTGACTCAGAGGTTGACCTTTCAGGGCCATTTTGACTTTGGGGCAGAGCCAGAAGCTGCGTGGCACCTGATCCAGTGAATTAGGTAAATGAGGCCACACTGAGATGTTTTCACCAGCCCGCCTTCCAGGCGGATGGCTCTTGCAGCAGCGTTCAGTATAGAATTTTTTTTTTTCATCAGACACTCGTGATAGAGGACTTCCAGAACCGACTTAGAAAGTGGCAAGAAGGACAGGATGAGGGTGTTTGAAGCGAGGGGAGGATTTCTAGAAGGCCAAATAGCGATGTGTCTGTTACTGTGACACATCTTCTGAAATTGAAACGCACACCATCGGCTTTGATCACTCCTTGAACCTTGAGGTCTTCTTGGCTTCAGTCTTCAAACTCAGATCTTGGTACTTTCCGGGCTGGACTCTGTGCCTGGTGGAAAAGAAAGGTCTTCCAGGGCTCTCTGGGGGCCTCCTGCCATGCAGGGGGAGCTGCAGGAGAAGAGCCCAGGGGCTCCTCAGCACTGGGTAGCCTTTCCTGAGTTCCCAGAGTGCCGCCCCAATGCCACTTCTGTTCTCATTGGTTGACTCTGAGTTTGGGCCATCTCTGTGAGCTGTGCGGACCTCTGTGTTTATTTTCTCCTGTGAATGTTCAGAGATGCATCTTCCTCTAGTTTTGTTTCTTCAGTGATCACAGCCACATTAGATCTTTCAGATAGTTCTCACATTGGTAGCTGAATGGTAACGTTCGTTAGTATTTCTCTGCGTCCTTCTGAACATTCCATATTCTGTTATAGTGAGATGCCCTGAACTGTGTGGGTTGTAGATGTGTAGTTTGATGAGATTTGGCAACGACAGCTACCCAGGCAGCCATCACTCCTCTTAAGACACGAATCTTCTGCTACCCCAGAAAGATTATTCATATCCTTTACCTTAGTATCCCTAACACCCCGCATCAACTACTCATCCAATTTCTATCACTCAGGATGAGTTTTGTCTATTGCTATACTTGATATTAGTGGGATTATGTGACTTATGCCCTTTTGTGTCTTTCTTCTTTTATTCTGTGTCATGCTTCTGTTATGCATCTGAATTGTATCAACTGCTAGCTTGTTTTTCATTGTGGAGTAATATTCCATTGCAGTAATATATCACATTTAGTTTTGTATTGATCTACATTTGGGTTGTTTCCGGTTTGGGGCCTTTATGAGTAGCACAGCTACCACTATTTTCATGTCTTTTAGAAGTATTTGTTTTAATTGTCAAAGGGGATGCAAATCCTTAGGAATGTACATCGCCAGGTCATAGTGTACCTATGTCTCCCCTTCTGAGAACCTGCCCTTTTTATAAAATGATTGCAACACATGAAGTTCCCTTCACCAATGCAGGGGAGTTCTGTGACCTCCACTTTTTACCAATACTTAGTGTCATTATTCTTTTACATTTTAATCATTCTAGGGGACACAGACTAATGCTGATTCTACTACTTAGAAAAGGAGAATTAGATATATGAAACTTTCAAGTGTTTCTGCCTCTTGCTTTAGAATAGCAAATTCCAAGTGAAGGAGTACATCACTAAGGGAAATAGCACTTGCTTTCCTTTTAAACCTTTCAGTTACGGGGCAGGTAGCTCAAGGCTCCATGAAATCCATGTATGCTAAAGTACATTGAAAAATAGAAACCCTTCTCTACAAATGTAAGTTATGGGAAAAAACAGAAGCCTGATCTGACATACTTAAAATCAGCTGGATGCAGAATTTATAAGGGTGCAGGTTGTAAATGAGCAATGTTCCAGGTATGGGGAATTAGTTGGAGAAGACATTCATCTGCCGCCCTGTCTCCTAGATGAAGTTTCAAAACAGAAGTGGGAATTCTAAGTCCCTTAGAAGGGTTCTTTCCATGTGATTTTAGGGGAAGAAAATAAATAAAACAAAAATTATTTTTTAAAATCTTATTAAGCCAGTTTTATAAAATTTGCTGGGTTGGGCAGATAGTCTGGTGGTCTAAGCACCTGCCTGGTGGCAAGTGCAAGCACCTGAGATTGATCCCCAGTACTGCATGCCATGCTGGCCCCAGAACCCCAGGCACATGGTGCCAGCCCTGAAACTGGGCATGGTGGTGCATGCCTATAATCCCAGTGCTGGGAAGGCTGACACAGGAGAAACAGTATGAGTCTCAGCTGCGTACTAACTAACTTACTAACTAACTAACTAACTAACTAACTAACTAACTAATAAAAAGATTAAAATTTGCTGGTGTTTGTTTCATGGCCTGGTAAATTTTCAATTTCTATAAATATTTAATGCATGCATGAAATGAATGTACATTTAGGTTCTAAATATAGCTATTATATACACGCAGTTTTACTTATGTTTGCTTCATATATTTTAAGGATATTTTATTAGATACTAGTGTAGACTTACTGTCATGCCAGTGGTGATGGTGTGTGTGTGTGTGTGTGTGTGTGTGTGTGTGTGTCCCTGGGGACTTTGCTCTGAGCTCCATCCCCAGCCTTTTCAAATATTTTGGACCTTTGAGACAGGGCCCTCCTAAGTTACTTAATTTCCCAGGCTGAAATTGAGCTTATGATGCTCTTGCCTCAGTCTCCCAAAAGTGCTAGAATTATAGACATGGCCTCCCACCACATCCAGTTTATATTTGTATTCTTCACAGTGTTTAACCTAGAAATATTATCATAATTAACTTCTGAAAACCTAGCCTTTCTTTCGGCCAAACAACCATCCTCTGTTACTGGAAGACTGTCTTGACTTATCTAATACTCCTGTCATGTGTCCTTGTCATGTATTTTAACTCTCTCTGAACCCACCAGCTGCTATTTTCATAGCCAATATTTGTTTGGTTCGCTCATGTGTGTACCAGTTCCTATGTTCTTCAATGTTCCTCTCATCTCTAATCTGTTGAGTTGATGTTTGGCTTTTAGAAATTCGTACTGGCAAACTCTCAGAAATTTGATGCATAATGACTTTGCGTTTACTGCTGAGTGATATTGTATGTGTATGGAAAACTTTAGGGCAATGCTCTTCTCTCAGCAAAATGAAGCTACTCCGATTGCATTCTGCAGTCAGCTGTCTAGATGTGTCTTGAGGGTAATCAGTCTTTTTCTTCCTGGCCTCTTAAAAATTTTGTCTTCCATCATTTTTGTAGTATAGATATGCCCTTAAAATGCATACTGCTTAGGTTTCATTGACGTTCTTGAGTCCCTAGAATGCCATCTTTTACCTCCTCTATATTGTTCTCAGCCATAGATTTCTTCGGATACTGCCCTCAGTCCACTTTCTCTGTGATGTGACATCCTCAATGTTATGGATTTTCATGCCACTCCTTGTCTTTAATCATTCTCTTATTTTTCATTTCTTTGTTTTTCTGAGATACCTTTTGGAATTTTTTCCCATTTTATGCACACCACCATTTTTTTTTTTTTTGGTCTTTTTATTTATTTATTACTTGGCACAGGGTCTTGCTATGCAGCTCAGACTTGTAGTGATCCTCTTGTCTCAGCCTCCCCAGCACTGGGACACAAACGTGTGCTACCATGAGCAGTTTTGGTGGCTGGCACGGCACGGGGCTGGCACAGCGTGTGGTACCAGGGATTGAATCCGCGTCCTTATGCTTGCCAGGCAGGCACTTAGATTGCTGAGTTATCTCCACAGCCCACCAGTTCTTTCTATAAGGTCTGCTGTTCTCTTTCCACTCTGCTTCATTTCACACTGTATTTACCTTTTAGGGCTCTGTGAAATGCACCACATGTGCTGCTCCTAGCACATCTGGGATCTAAGGTGCGTGTGCGTCTGACTCTTGTTTGTGATGGCTCTTGCTGTGCCATATTTACTGTTACTTTCGTGACTTTTTACCATGCGCCAGCACTTTCTCTTGGAACTGTGGTTATAGAAACTCCTTGGGTCTGGTTGGCTCTTCCAGAAAGGACTTGCATTTACATTTTCCTTTATGTTTTCAGCTTGAGTTCCTTAAGCCATAAGATATTGTGAGATCGTGATGTAAGTATACACGAGTGTTAGCGTTTGGTCATAATGTGTCGGCATAGTATTTTTTCTGTGCTTATGCTTATAAATGGGGATCTAGATAGGCAGTTTTCGCTATAGGTCTCTTTAAGGGGAACAGATTTCCAATTTACTTTTTAAATATAGCTTGTCAGCTGTAAGAGGTGGTCTCATCACTCTTCTTACCTTCGGAGCTTCTGGCTGTGCCTTGTCTAGTCTACATAGACTGGAGACCATGGATGAAATTTTCTTACTTTAGCAAATGCGCTCAAGGCAAGAACTGCATGCAGTATTTGTTTCCAGTGCCATTGGTGTTCTTTTCCTTAGTCTGACCAGGACAGTTCTTACTTATGGCCAGTGAATGTATATAATCAAAAACATTACATGTCTTTAAAGTTATTTGCAGCAAAAGAGGCCAGCCCTCGCACCTGACCTACCATGTTGTCAATGGTAGATGCTATTATATGATTTCATAGGGAGATCGAGCAAGTGCTTTGAGTTCTCCTCTCTTTAATTTCAAGAATTAATTCATGCCTATTACATCAAGTAAAACAATACAACACAAAGACTCATAGGGGCACAGCAGTAGTTTCTTTTCCGAACGCCTCTAGTGGTAACGTTCTGCATGATCATTTCATGCTTAGTCTTGTATTGTGTATAAAAGTGAGTAGAGATTTTTTTGTTTTGTTTTAAACCCAAAGGAATCATAGTGTATTCTAATAATACACGACTTAGATAAATGGGTTTCTTAACCATTTATCTTAACGATCACTATAAATCAGAAATATGACTGACTTCGCCTATTTTTTCCGATTTGTTCTTACAAATGGGATATCATTTTACATAGAAGGATTTACTTTATTGACACTATATTTTAAAGATTATATATATATATATATTTCTTTTTGTCTCCTCTCTCTTTTGTTGATACTCTAACAGTATCAAGCAGTATCAAGTAATGGAGACTGAGATCCTGGTTTGATTTCATTCCAATGGATTTCTTATGTGTGTCCTCATGAAATGGGTGTTGGTGGCTGGTGGAGGTGGAATTCAGAGTAGCTGCTCCCTTGTCTTTTGGCAGTCAGATCTTGCTGGGGGAACCAATGCTTTTCAGCTGTAGTTATTAAATTGACTTAATGTATGTAATATCCCTGTTTCATCTCTAGTCACCAAAAACATAAAAGCTTGGTCTCTGGGCAGCACAGAGCCAAAGCAGCCTTAGAAACAGACGTTTTCCTAAAAGATGACAAGGACTATATGGTGGTACATATGGGGGTCCTGGAGGTATCCCAGAGGACAGACACCTGGTCAGTAGGTGGGTAGGAAGCAAAAGCCTATAGATAGGAAAGGTGTTTTTAAAGCTGCTAGTTGAGTTGGGTATAAAGAATGAGCTGGGAATGGCATTGGGATTCTATGTTAGTAGTTATTCTCAACTTTGATATACTTGGATTTTTTTTTGTTGTTTTTTTCCCTTTCTAGGAAAGCTAACTTACCAAGTTCAGTCACCTGATGAAGGGGCCCTGGTAACTGCTGCTAGCAACTATGGCTTCATTTTTAAGTCCCGGACTCCAGATTCAATAACAATAGAAGAACTGGGAACGCTTGTTACCTACCAGTTGCTTGCCTTTTTGGATTTCAACAATATCAGAAAAAGGATGTCTGTCATAGGTATGGTAGGCGGCTGGGATTAGGTTTGATCTCAATGGTGCTGTGGTTATACTGATACTTTTCAAGGATGACTGCATTTTTGGCTATGTGCTGAGAGTGGTGATGTTTTTGTAACTTTGTCAATTCCTGGGATACTCAGCTTAGTCTCAGCTCTATAGTAAAACCTGATTGACATTTAACAATCAATGCTAAATCAAGGGTTCCTATGCTTCTGTCTAGCACTGTCCCAAATGTTCGGCTTGAATTAACTGATTTTCACTGCAGCCATGGGGAGGCAGGTAAGCTGCATCATTTTACAGAGGCTGAAGCTGTGACGTGGGGAAATGGAGAAGCCTGCCCACGCTCCTGTGGCTCCCTGTGGCACGGGGGTTCATCCCAGGCAGACTGGCGGGCATTGGAGCCAGCTCAGGGTGATGTTCTGGGTTGCTTGGCACATGCCAATGGTTGTAGACCTCAGGAGCAGCCTCTGCATTTCACGTCCCTTCTCTATTCACCCTGTTGTCGGAGCCCATTCTCTAAGACCCTGAATTTCCACCACCACCACACTGTGCTTCCCTGGCTCAGTGCTAACCCTCAGTGCTGTGCCTCTGCTTCAGGGAGGCCCACCATGAACACACGCTCTTCCCCTTTCTCCTCCTCCCCCATGACCACTTGCTTCCTTTCCCGATCAGAGGACAATTACCCCAACTACTTTTCAAAGCTGAGGCTCTCCCTGGTGCCGTTCTGATCTTCCTTATTGCCTTCTTCTGTGCTTGTGCTTTGATGTCCTTCCATCAGTGGCTCCTTCTTGCAGGCCACAAGACTCTACACCATCCTGTTTCCTTAAAGTATTGTCCACATTGTGAGGCCTGCTGATTTTTCCAAGCTGTTCTTTCTATTTCTGCCACAGATGGATTTCTCAAGGCCAGCTTTCTTCCTCTGTTTAGCCCCGCAGGGTTCTTCTGTTTCCACAAGAGGGAATGCTAGTCAGAAGCTCCTGTCACCTGGGAGTACCTAACATGGTGGACATTGCTTATGTATCCACCCACCAGTGTAACCCTGCCCATCTATATTTCTTTTACTTAGTAATGTTTAGTCTTGTTGGCCTTCTTCCCTGTCCTGCCTCTTTTTCTGCTATGTAACCTTGCTGACTCCCAATCCTCCTTCTGTCCAGTGTTCTCTTCCTTGATTCCTTTGCTGACGATTTTCCCTCACCCCACACCTTAATCTTCTCATTCCTGTGTTCTCCTGTGGTGATCTCTGCTGCTTGTGTGAGATGGCCTTGGCCCATTTTGTGACCTTCCTGCCTGTTCTTCCATTTTATTCTTTCCTGAGATTCACAGATTTTCAATGTTCTCCTGGAAGAAATTGTACTATACTTACCTAAAATCTCATGTTAAATATGGAACTTTCTTTATCATGACTATTGTCCTCTCTATGGTCTGAATTAAAATTAACAGTTACCTTTCATGGGAAACATTTCAGTGAACTGAGTACTTTATAATGAATTCTTTTATTGAATTGTTTCATTAGTATATTACCTTTGTTTAATACATGGGAAATGGAACGTAAAGATTTTAAGTAACTTCCCAGAGATGGTTGCATAACTGGGCAGAGGCAAAGCCAATATTTGAGCCCAGGATCGTCTCTTCTAAAGTATGGCCTCTTGACCTCTATTGAAGTGTACTTGCTTGTGATATGACCACATCCTTATGGCTCCAGGGTAAGAGTTCTCCAGCGTTAGCCCCTATGAGAATCTCCAGAGGGCTTATCAAGACATTGCTGGACTGGGTTGCTTGACACATTGCTGGACTTCAGCCTCCAGCGTCAGAGTCTGCTGACAGCGAGGGACTTTTCTAGCTGATAGTACAGGTCAGAAGATCACAATTTGAGGACTACTCCCCTAACCTAACTTATCCTCAACTGTTATTCATTATTTTTCCTGGAGAAGTGGGAGACATTTTTCAACCCTGTCTCCTTCTCTTTTCTCAGCCTGTTTCTAAACCCTTTCTCCACAAGGCATCAGAGTAATATTTCCAAAAATAACTCTAGAAACCACCTTTTATACTAAAGGTCTTTTGTCTTTTTTCTTTGATTTCTCAATGTCACGGGCTTACTTAAGGTCCTGTCACTGCTTGCTTGCATTATTGCAATATCTTCAAAACTGTTTCCCTAAAAATAATCCTCTCTGCAGACACCAGCGTTCTCCTTCTAAAACATAGGCCTGATGTGCCGCCATTTACTCAAGAAACATCGATGGCTCCCTAGAATTTAAAGGATAAAGTCCTTAGAGAGACCCGCGAGACTATTTACAATCTGATGTCAACCTACTTTGCTTCTATTTTGCAAGTTGAATGCCATACACTAGACCTCATTGCCTCTGGGATGCATTGTGCATGTTTATGTCTTCTGCGGTGCCTTTTTCTCCATATAGAACAATGCTTTTCCTTACTACTCTTTCTTAAAAAAATCCTATTCATCTAGTAATGTTCAAATGCCACCTGCCTTTTCCTATTCTCCCAATAACTGTCTCTGCCTGTGTTCTTCTCAGTGCCTGGCTCATAATCAGCTTCATAGCAGTCCTCAAAGATTCATGACTATTCCAGTCCTAGACAGGGAAGGCACCACGCCTTAGCCTTAAGCCCTTCAGGGCCAAGAACACAGCTTGGCATGCAGACACTTTTCTATAAATAGTTTATAGTTATTTTTCTGTCATTGCTGGGACAAAATACCTGACACCCAGAATTAAGGAAGGAAAGGTTTATTTAGCTCACAGTGGAGGTTTCAGTCCATACTTGGCTGGCTCCAAGGCAGAGTGGCACGCGGAAGAGGGCAGCTGTTCATGGTGGCAGAGAGCAGCACAGAGCCAAGCAAGGGGCAGCAGCTGCAGCAGCTGCAGCAGCTAGCAGTCCTCTCTTCCTTTCCTACATTATAATGCAGATGACCTGCCCCAGGGTGCATGCAGCACCCACACCCACAATCCCAGCACTAGATCAAGAATCAGTCACAAACTCCAGAAGCCACCCCATGACTGCATGAGGCTTTGAGGGGACAACTAGATGCAGCCATAACAAATAGGTATTAAATAAGATACATCCCAAACTTTGTAGCCTATACGTGTTCAGGTCCTGTGTTAAGTCCATTTCTATAGTGGAAAAAGCGTGCGTATGCAATGGTAGGGCTTGAGGTCTCCACCAGAAACTGGTCCTGAAAGATTGCCCTCACAAGTGCAAACTAAATGTCATCTGAAGCTGTTTCTGTTTATTTTTATGACAACAAGCTGGAGGCCATCCTCTGCTCAGGGGGACACACGCTACTTCTAGGTGTTGGCTCCATGTCGCTGCAGTGGGAGCTGTCTTCTCTTTATGACCGTAGGGATGTATTGGTGATGCTGCTTTGGCCCAGACTTGGTCTCTCCTTGCTCTGAGCGTGTTGACAAAAACCTCAGATTGCTACACAGGGAGACTTGGCTTTGCTTCAGCATCGGTCACGATGACAGGCACGGGGAAATCACAGCCTAACCGCAAGCATCAGATGTCTGCCTTAATGGCTTGCACATGACGAAAGGTAGTGTTCACCACAGAGCACACAGGGGCTTGGCTGCTGGGTTTGGGCTCCATTTGGTTTTTAATCAAGAGGCATGTGAGAGGGGCTCTAGGAGGACAGAAGAGTCTCTGTTTGATAACTAGGCAAGAAATGATCCTGCTCTCATGACTGTCACATGGCTTGAGGGGGGAAACAGCATGTAGACATGAAGGCTCATTTGTGACTGCTGCTGCCACCTCCAATCATCCTTTTCTTCACCTTCTTCTTCTCTTTTCCCTCCATGTCCATTTTCTCCTCCTCCACCTTCCTCTTTTCTTTTTTCTTTCCTTGCTTGGTGTTGTTTCTCATTCATCCTATCATCAGTGTACAGATTCAGTGCTAGGAGGGTTTTCATTCTGAGGCCAGAGCTGTGATTTAAGTCTGTTGCATCTAAATATGAATTGATCTCTGTCAGATTTTGTCAGTGGGTACAGATGTACTCAATTAGTAAACCTGGTGTTATGAGTTGGATCAAAAACACAGCCCAGAAGCCGCAGGTGGCCAGAGGCAGGCCTGCTGAGAGGTGGCTGGACCACTCGCAGAATACTCCACCGATGAGCTTGTAGCTGATTCTGCTATTGGGAGGTGGGGCTCTGCTGGAGGAAGCAGTCTCTGGGGTGTAACCTAGAAGGATCTATTCTGGTCTCTGGTCCCTGCAAATCTCAGGCTCCCTTCTCTGCTGGCTCCACGAAGCGAGCAGCTTTCCTTTCCTGTGCCTTTCCACCATGATCTCTCTACCTTGGAGCTACTGACCATGGACTGAAAGTGCAGGCCCATACATTTCGCCCCCTTCTGTTGTCCACACAGGTGGCAGCAGGAGCAACTTTGGGTGGTGTTCAGATATCTAGTTTTTTTGGGGGGGATGAATGCAGACACAGGTCATGGGAGAAGCAGCTCATTAGAGGACGGTGAATATATCCAGTGTGAGATTGATGGGCCTGGTTATACCCAAGAGATGCTCAGCTGGTAGTGGGAGGCTAGGTCAGAGAGGACGCTGTGGATGTTTGGGACAGGCGATACCCATTTAGCAGCAGTCAGCCTTGTGCCTGAACCTGAGACCAAACACATGTGCAGTTGCCAGGGAGAGGATGGGAGAAGAAACAGAGTCAGAATATTTCTGAGGAGCAGAGCTTTGTCTGTTACTTAAAGGACACATAATAGAAGATTTATAACCTAAAAACAGCGACCTTTGCCCATATGTTACTATGACCATGTAAAGGTATTGTGTTCTTTTAAATTTGTTTTCAAAAGTCTAACTTCTGATGTGACTGAGATTTTATTAACTTTCAACAGAGATGATCCAAATCCTTGGGAAAAAAGAAATACAAATGTTTTTAGTAAGTAAACTTAGGCAGAATTCCATGAAAATTAACTTACACAATCTCAGACTTAAAGGGTGGGTCTGGGTTAAGAAAAGGCATCAAGTATAGAAGGTATTTATTAACTCAGAGAATTGCACAACTAGAAAGGATGCTCGAAGTTGAGTTGTTTAAACATTGTTTTGTGTACAAACAGAGATAGAGATGGTCAGGTTTTTCAGACGCTGCACAAGGACAAGAGTATTTGGACAAAATATTTTCCTTATTGCGCTGTTGTTACTTATCTTTTTCAGTCTTTTTCTCATGAATATACTGCAGAGTTTTGTAACACGGTATATATGCATGGTGTTTGGTATGAGAATGGGCTCCACCCTGGGGCCTTCATGTTGAGCTGCATCCCAGCCTGTGTGTATCTTGACACAGGGTCTCACTAAGTTGCTAGATTGCCCAGGCTGGGCTTGAACTTGCAATCCTCCTGCTTCAGGCTCCCAAAGCACTGGAATTAGGGGTGCGTACTACCACACCCAACTCACATGATGTGGGACATTAGAGCAGAGGGACATGGAAGCTGGGAGGGCCCAGCTGGTAGTCAGTGAGCCAGACTTTAAAGAGACCCTCAATCATGTAAGACAGTGTCAACTCTCTATAGATTTATTGTTTAGAAAATGTCGTTATTTTTATAAAAAAATTATTTATGTTGGTACATGTTAGATTTATTACCGTTATAATAATCATTGCTGTAGAGATACCATATTTGGTGCTGAGTATTGATGTAATCAGATTTGAAGCCTTCCCTGAGTATTGAGTGTGAAGGGATCCCAGGACCAAAACATTTGAGAATCGTACCCTACTCTGGGCTCTACAAATAATCACAGAGAATCATGCTGGCAATGTAGGCTATCCATACTCTGCATTTGTGTTTCTGGTGGCCAAAGGGAGAATATGGGGCAACTTATTAAATCAGACTGTTGCAGATCAAAAGAAAAATCAAACTTTCCCCAGGACTCTTTTGTCACCTCTAGTTGAACAATTATGTGAATTGATTACATAGGTTATTTGTTTTCTCACAAGTGTATAATCACAGATAAATCACAGATAAAGTACAAGAACCATATGAGTTCAGGAGCCAGGAAAGCAGACAGAGAAGCTTAGAACAGAAGAAAAACTCGTCCAGGGTAGTGTACTAAAAACTTTCCAGGGTGCACTACATCTGTTTAAGCCAGGAGGAAATCAGAGTAAGTTAAGCATTGATGAAGGGTTAGAGGGACAGAGTAGCTAATTATTGTACTTGGGTTGTTATAACCTTTAAATCAAACTCTAAAGTTTATATCCCATTAAATTAATAGTAGTGGGTATTTCTGTTCAACTGTATTGGGGCATTGTCCTTTTAGAGAAAAGGTATAATTAAGTGGGAAGTCTGGAATGCTCTTTGATTTAATTGATGAAGCTCATGAGGGCTACAATGTTCAGAGCAGGAAGCTGGGACCCACACAGCCGTCTTAAATTATAAGCATCTCCTGGGAAGGAAGACATATATAGCCACGTCACTCATTCATTCATGTATTTCTTCAGTAAATAATTCTCAAGTGCCTACTTCACGTCAAGCTGTGAAGCCACGCCTACAAAGGTGGGTCAGATGTTCTGAAAACTTTGGTGACAGGCCTGCAGGTAGGGACGGCTGCTGTTCATAAACCTGGGAGGTCAAAACACTGCCTCATCACAGCAGACTTTCTATAGGAAGAGGGTCGAGGCTTTGTTTTTAGTTCTTAAGAGCACTCTGTAGGGTATGCTTCTGCCACGCTTAACCTGAGAATAAATGGCTAAGGATACATGGGCTTTCCAAGAGCAGAGGGAGCAAAGAAATAAACCAGCAAGGGCCAAGAAAGGATGCAGAAGCCATGGCTGGCATTTCTAGAATTCCATATGGAGACAATTTGGCAGAATGATGACAGGGATTTGAATAGTAACTCTTGAATTTCACACTAGGAACTCTTAAACAGCTCTGCGTTCTGCTCAGATACAGAAGGTTTAATTCCAATCTATCAATCCATCAGCAACAGCAGGCAAAGAAATAGGAGAGTCCCACACATCAGTGCAGGAACAGTTGTTTCTGACTTGGGAAAGTCAGAGGATTCCAGCAGAAAGAATATTTCTAGGTTAGTAACATAGGAAGGGAGCCCAGTGGCTTAGATATGACCTAGCCAGTGTCACTGAATATTTTACTACTGGCTACAACACGATGTACTTTTCCAAACTCCTCACTACAGTAGTTTTGACAGATTTTCTTGATGAGGATCCACTTTTCCACACTTGTTTTCTTTCAGTTCAAAACCCAGCAGGGCAGATCAAGCTCTATTCCAAAGGAGCAGATACCATCCTATTTGAAAGACTGCATCCTTCCAGCAAGGACCTTCTGTCTCTGACATCCGACCATCTCAGCGTAAGTGCCTCTGCCTTTGGGGTGGCATGGTGGCTGGATCTTACTTCAGAAGCATCAGGGAACTGCTTGGACTCCGGCAACAGGGAATAGCCCGGGGCCGATGCACAGGAAGCTGTGCCCAGGAGGGTCCAGGTTCTGGTTTCACATTTGTGCATTTAGTGCAGGTGGCTCTACATGGCATGAGTGGGAGCCACACCCCAAGGCCCTGAACTCCAGCCAGTGTTCAGGGGACTTGGATGGGGCTGGCGCCCTTTCCCTGGAAGCCTGGGTCAGTTCCAGGAAGTAGAACTGGAGAGCTGCTTTTCCTGCGCTCTGGTGTGTGCTGTCCAGGGGAATTGTGGATGACAGTCCAGGAAGAGGCTGAGGCTGTGCTCGGGCCAGGAGGGTAAATGGGCTCTGATGTCAGCCCTCTCCCTGAGGGTCCTTTGTCCAGGTTCTGCATCACAGGTGCTGCGAGTTTGCACCTTCCAAAACAGCAGAATTTCCTTCTGAAAGCCTTCTGAAGGGAAAGCTTGCTCTTTGATTTACCCTCCGAGAGCAGGTGACACACAGGGAGCTGCGCCTAGCTGCGCCCAGCGCTCCTGGGAATGTTATGTGACTCAAACCTGCAAGTCTCATTTGTCCTTAAGGTGTTGTTTAACCCCATGTGAACTCCGAGGGAAGCTGGTCCAAACTCTCATTTTCTCATTACTTCTTCTTTTCCCTCTTTAAAAATTACTGAAGATTCATGTTCTTTGTCAGGCCCTATAGTTAATATAAAACATTCCCCGAATCCTTAAAAACAAACAAATAAAATATAAAAAACTCTGCCTTTAAGTTTAAAAAATGATGGTTTAGTAATATTGGTTACAAACATAGCTATTGTTTTTGTCTTTCCAATAGAACATTCTTGATTTTCTTTTAATCTTTTCCAGAAGGCTGGCATAGTCTTTTTTTTTTCTTAGATTTTTTTTATGAAAACAACATTGGAATCATAACTATCTGATTTTTGCCTTAAAACACAAGGCCCTTGAGTTTCACGTATTCTCTTTTCATACTAACGTACAGGAAGCCTAACTTGGTATTTTTATGTATCTGTGCAAAAGAATTTTTTTAGTTTTGGCAAGATCAGCCTGGCTTGTTCTTTGCTTCATTCACCCTATTTATTTTGCCTTCTAGATTCTCAAGTTTTAAAATTTGTATTTAATTATTGATTTTGAATTGTTTGACGATAGGAAAAGACCTCGCTCCAGTGCTCTTTTAGGATTAAGCTTGTGTTTCATGCACTAATTAAATAACCTAAATCATCTGTCCTCTTTTGTAATGTCATCCTTGAGTTGATTCACTGTTCCAGCGCAGAACACAGAGAAAGGCACTGCGAATGCCAGTGGGGCTGCGAGTTAAAGGAGAAGGAGTGTTTGTGCAAATTACGAGGACAAAAGAGTGCTATAAGGCAGTAACTAGATTTTCAGATCAGAAGGGTGCTCACTGGTGGTCCTGGAAAGCAGGGCTTGTAAAATATGATTGCAATCTTCAGAATGCCACCGACTGCCTATGTGATAAATTTGGGTACATTTTCTCATGATCTCTGGGCTCAAAAGCACTATTGCAGTATGCGCTGACTTCTTATTCATCTAGTTAGAGTGAGTCCCGGTTTGACTTGTGCATAAATCTCTATCCATGCCCTAAGCCAAAGCACAGTGGAGAAGTCATGCCCAAAGGCAGTGCCAAAGGAGCAGAAACGGCCACGAAGTGCTTGGCTTGCCGAGGACAGCCTCACAAAGCGGCCGTCGCAGGCCCAGGCGAGGGGGGAGGTTTCTAGCATTTCCCAGCAGCGGTCCCCGCGTGTTCCTGCCCTTGTGGCTCCGGGAGACTTGGAGCCGCTACCAGCCTCCAGTTTCCCCCTTTTGTAGAAGGACAAAAGACCAGAACCGTTGTGTGCAGCTGTCTGTTTACTGAGACTCTCGGAAAAGAATCGTGTCCCATTCTTTTGGGAAAAAGAAAGGCTTTGAGTCACTATTAACTACTAACTGTGCGGAACATCATTGGTTAAAATTTAAAAATAAAAGATTTTTTTAAAAAAAGCTGACCTGGCTGGATGATGGTGTCTTCAAAATTTCAAAAACTTTCTGTCACTAAAATGAAACATTCACATAGCCTGAAAACTGCAGCTGCGCAGTAGGAGGAAAAGCAAATCAGCCTCACTTGGAGGCTTCCTTGTTCTTCCTTTTACCTCCTCCTGTATTATTATCATCGCATTTCTACATGAGATGCATAAACTTCTGTTGCCCAGCTATTTAACACCGATGAATTCATTTGGTATTTATTTTTAGTTTTTCCTTAGGAGACTTTTCAAGCACGGACAGAGCAGGCCTGGATTAATTCTGGGCACAGCTCTACCAGGAAGGGGAGTGTGGTAACTCTGGGGAGGGTCTGGCTGCGGCTCCCTAAAACACCTTCTGCCCAGATCTGACAGAGGGCCATGGGCCTCTGCGGTCCTTGCTCTCCACTGGCCAGGGGCCACCAAAGAAGACCAATTCTCCGTGCAAGGGAGACTGGAAACTAACATGTGCTGCTTCAGCATCCTAAGTACCAGCTGGCCACACCTGTAAGCCCCAAATTTAAAAATAAAAAATATGGTGCGTGTAGCTCATTACTGTACCCTTTTGGCTCTCTAGAGCATCCAAATTTTTTTTTGGTACCGGTATTGAACTCAGGACCTTGCACTCGCCAGGCAAGCTCTTATTCCACTGAGCTATCTCCCTGCACCCCCCAAATTTTTTTAATAATAAAAACCGTTGTCGGCATCATTGATCACCTCTCAGCAGAGCCTCTTTTGCAAAGCTGTCTTTGTCCCCTACAAGGATTTGTTTATTTACTTATTTCTTGCAGTACTGGGGGTTGAACCTAGTAGTACTCTACCTCCGAGTTACATCCCCAGGCCTTTTTAAAATTATTATTATGATCCAAGGTCTCACTGTGTTGCCCAGGCTGGATTTAAGCTTGCCGTCTTCATGGCTCAGCCTCCCATATAGCTGGGGTTACAGGCATATGCCTTACAGGTTTGAACAGTATACAGATACAATATGCCCACCACTGCCCATTGCCGAGGAGATAAAAGTGAGGCAGGATGCCAAGTAGTGCTCTTGGGATGACGTGACTCTGAGGGGAAATCTTCTCCCTCCTCACAGTGGCTGTGGGTGCTGCCAGGCTCACTCTCCCTGGGATTTCAGTCTCTTCCTTTTCCTCCAGGACTTCGCAGGCGAAGGCCTTCGGACCTTGGCGATTGCCTACAGAGAAGTGGATGACAAGTACTTCAAAGAGTGGCATAAGAGGCGCGAGGTTGCAAGTGCTGCCACCCACGGGAGGGATGACCAGATAGCGCGACTGTACGAGGAAGTGGAAAGAGAGCTGACGGTACAGCTCGGCAGTGCGTGGATGTGCGGCTGTAGAAACTCCGTGGGCGCAGTCATGCGGTGCACAGCGAGGCTACTTTTTCAGACACTGAGTTCTGTGCGGGCTCTGGGTTGGCCGTGGGTGGTCCCAGCACTTTATTGGTGTTTGCAGTAGCTTGTGCAGCTGGAAGCTCCCAAGAACTGAGCATGGAAGCCTCCCTCGTAGTGATGATCTCCCAGTGTGCCCTTCATGTTAGTATGGGTTGATTTTCCCTCCCTGCTTTATGAACGGGCCATAACCTAACCCATCCAAAGACTGGGAGAGTCTGAAGTGTCTGCACTAGAAAGTGCTCTTGCCTAGAGCCAGGGGCACAGAAGCTAGGCCCTGTGGGTACTAGGGAGCGTGTCTTGTTCATCTTGGGATGACCACCGCACAGGCAGCTTTGTTTTTCCTTCTGCACATGCTGCTTTGGTAGTGTAGGTCAATGGTGCTCGCTTTCTGTGATGGTTTCTTGGCTGAGCCAAGGCCTTTCCATTGTTGCTGTCCTCCCGGAAGCAGTTAAGTCAGTGAGGACCACTCAGCTTCAGACCCTTGATGTTAGCCTGGCACCTAAGCAGGCTCCTGTATGTCACCCTAACCCCAGGATCTCCACCCTCAAGTTGGCTTGGTTTAGACATTTGCTTTTGGGGTCCTTTCCAGGCTACTTCTGGACATGACAGCATGTTTGCTATATCATCACAGAACAGCTGCCACCCTCAGTTGCTACTCCGTGACCTCCACACTCTGAGATCAAAAGTGATAGATGCCGTGAACGTTGTGTTCCGTGTGCTAACATACGTGATTCTCCATTTTCCACTGAAGCTCCTTGGTGCCACTGCTGTAGAAGACAAGTTACAAGAAGGTGTGATCGAAACCATTGCGAGTTTATCGCTGGCCAACATTAAGATCTGGGTTCTAACAGGAGACAAACAAGGTAATTTGAAAATGGATGAGGAGGAGGAGGAAGTTGAACTCTGGGCTAAAATGATTAATAAACAGAATGAGCAGCCCAACGGGTAGACCAGGCGGCTCCGGAGAGTCAAGCAAAGTAGCTGCCTATTATCTTCAGCCCACACTTTGCTCAAATATGTAAAAGTTCACCTAAATTACACAAGGAAGCTTAACTTGCTCTGCCTTCTAATACGGGACTCCACGTCCTATAGTTTCAGAAGACCAAAAGTCCTAAAAATGAACATGTGATTTGGATAAAGAAAATACACTGTATTTTGAATGCAGAAGATACCCC